AACAAGTCCTGTGAGGAGAGGCTGAGGGAGCTGGGGATGTTTGATTTGCAGGAGGCAGAGGGGAGACCTCATTGCTCTCTACAACTGCCTGAGAGGAGGTTGTAGGGAGGTGGGGGTTGGACTCTTCTCCCAAAGGAATGATGACAGGACCAGAGGAAATGGCCTGAAGTTGCACCAGGGGAGGTTTGGGTTGGATATTAGGAAGAATTTCAAGAGTGGTCATGATGGAACAGCCTGCCCAGGGAGGTGGTGGAGTCACCATCCTTGGAAGTGCTCAAGAAACGTGAAGACGACTCAGTGATCTCAGAGGTCCTTTCCAACCACCACTATGCTGTGATGATCCAAGGAGTTTGCCATGCTGAAAACAAAGGAAGTGGGAGCAAAACCTCTGGGGAGCTGATTTCTCACGGAGCTTTGGGAGCTTGGGTTGGGTTTGGTATGGAAGGAATTTTGATACTGAGGGAGTTTTTTGATGCTGAAGGATTTTTTGAGGTCATCTGTTGCTCTTAAAAGAAAAAAAAAGGGAGGGAGGGGAAAGTTTGATTTCATGACATCCTCTCCTCTGCTGAGATGAAATTAAATAAAGCTGAGAATTTGGGGTCTTATTGCTGGAGTCCAAGTAGCTTAAAAATGACCATTTTGGGGGACACTGGGATGGGAATGGAGTTGTGAACCCTTCTGCACAGCAGCTGTTTTGTCTCCTGAGGGGTTTTTGAGTTATTTTTCAGTGGGATGATGAGAAAAGCAAATGGGAGGAGGTCAGGGATCCATTCTCTGGAGCAAACAAAAGGAGGTTGGTGGTGATAGAAAATGGGGAGGGGGGAAAAAAAAGGAAAATAAGTAACAATAATAAACCTGGACACTATTGTAATCCCAGAAATAGGCAGAATTGGCTGTAAATTCCTTTTTCCTGTATTTGTCCTTAGTTCTGGGAATAGAGAAGAGGGGTTTCTGCCTTGAAAGGTGTTGGGGGTTGACCTGGGTTGAACGGAGCTCCCACCTCCACACCATGGACACAACCCCTGCCCTCTAGTCCTTGAATTATTAACCTGATAGATGTGAATTATTTAACCTGATAGATACTAATTATAGAGGTTTCTCAGGGTCAGTAGGTAGAGGAAGATGTGCTGGGTGAGGTGTCAGAGGAGTTGAATTTCAAGAGAAAAAGGTAACGAGGAGGGAGGTGGTTTAATCAGCACCAGTTTTATTAAGTCTTCCTAAGTGCACAGAGTGTGGATCCCAGACAAGCTGGTAGAAAATAAGAAACAAACCCACCTCTGATGGAGGAAATACCTGGTTTTCCTACAAAAATTACCAAATCCAGGAGCTGGAAATGAGCTGATTTGTCTTTTAACAAGTAAACAAGCCGGGGGGGGGGACCCCTTTGGGGATAGTTAATTATAAATCATGACTTTTTTTTGAGTGAGGAATCATTATCCAGCTTGTCCCCATTTTGTGGTTTTTTCCTAAAAAAAAACCACCAAAGTGCCCTCCAGTTGGTTCAGGGCAATTTCCTGGATTCACTGTTGGTGATTTACTGTTAACTCAGGGCTGCAACTGCTCACATTTTTAATCCATCAACCTCCCAGGCAGAGGGAACAGGGACATGGCAGCAGTGGCCACCCATCTATTTTGGGGTGAATTCTTCTGTTCATCACTGCTTATCTGGGTGATTATCTGTTGTTTATTGTGAACCAGCTACAAGAAATAACTTTAGGAGGAAGATCCAGCTGAATTGGGCTCATTTGTTTGCAAACAAGTACATTTGCAATCAGCTAAACCAGGATTAATTGCTTTTATGTTCTCAACCATTTCAAGCAGGTAATCCCTTTGCTCTTCTGCACCACAGAGTGGGAATTGTTTGTTGTTGGGTTTGTTTTTTTAAATGTAGGATTAGTGCTGAGATTATAAACATGCAGCAGGCTTTTCCACTTCAATTATGGCAGCATTTCAGGATTGTAAACCCTGGAAGTTACACCCAGCTGGGGGCAGAAGGGCTGCAGATGTGTTTTCTGATTGAACCCTCCCCACCACCAACCTTCCTCTGACCACTAAATATTCCATTTCTAAAGCTGATTTGATTTTTTTTTTGCAGATGATGCTGAGGGCACCCCTGGGCATGGCAGGTTCCTGCAGGAGTTCTCCTTCTGGGCTCCAGTTCCCAAATCCCTCTGCAAAAAGCCTTTGCAATGCTGACCTCTGCAGGCTGATACCGCAGGAAACCAGCTGGCTCGAGGCAGCAATAACCTAAATAATGCATTAAAATCGGTATTTTCAAGCATTCCTGCCGGCTGTGGCAGCAACAGCCCTGAAATAATGCAAACAAATGGGGGATTTCTCAGTCGATTAGCAAGCAGAAGTGTTTTGGTGAGGGAGATACCAGGAAATCCTTGTCTGCTTGGAAGGGGCTGTATATATTGTGTAAATAATTTGCTGGCAAAGTGGTTTGAAACCAGGGGATGAGGGATATGAATAAAAAGCTGGTATTTCACCCCATAAAAGCCATTGCTGCTGTAAACTGGGAGTCAAAGGCTCTGCCTGGGTTTCCTCTGGGGATCTGGGGGAAGAGCCAGACACTGCTCTGCAGCTGACACCCCACCTCTAATTAAGCTCTAATTAACAGCACCCTGAGGGCCAAGAAAGCCCCCAGGCCTGAGTTTGGGGGGGGGTTATGTCTGCTGGGGCTCTGGGGGGCTCAAGAGGGGGATCCTGTGGGTCCAGACCCTGTAATCAACTCCTGGCCCAGCTCCCTCCTTCTCCCAGCCTGGCCCTGGGGATCCCATCCTAAGATATTTGTTAGTGAATTCAACAGAAATAGACCCAAATAAAAATGTACTAAAATAACGAATTTGCTGCACTAGGGGTTACTTTTAAAACTCGGGGCTTTGTGAAACTTATCAGTCCATGATGCCAGGCATCCTGCAGGTCATGGTGACATCAGGTCTTCTAAGAACCTGTGGTGCCTACAGACAGTCATGTTGGTTCTGACCCACCTGGGCAGGGAGGCTGGAGACAGGACCAGGACAGGGACAGGACCAGGACAGGGACAGGACCAGGACAGGGACAGGACCAGGACAGGGACAGGACAGGGACAGGACCAGGAGGAAAGACAGGACAAAGATGACAAAGGTCTAGAATCAACAAAGACCCCCTCCAGGAGACCCTCGAGCACACAGCATTGCAAAGATGGCCAATTCCAGGAAATGAAATGACCCCCGGCCCTGCCCCCCGCGCCCCTCGATCTGCCCCCCGCACTCCCCGTCTCTGCCCCCCGCACCC